AGATGAGAAAAGAGGTTCTGAAGTGATATTAACAAAAGTTTCTGTAGGAAACTATTAGAATGGAGAAAATATATAAAAGAATCACTAACAGCTCCAATATGCCATGATTATGTAAGACTTGTGTCATATTTATTTCTTCTCTTAGTTTAAATTAAAGATAGGTGTGACCTCAGGTTTCAAAAGTGATGTCCAGTATCTAAATAAATTCTGGTTTATTTTCATCGTCTTTTAGAAAGAAAACACATATTCATGATTAAAACCTAATATATATCGTACATAAGAAAACAATCAACGAGCGATTGTTGGCCGTAAAAATAAATCGACGGGGTTGTTGAAACCTTTTTTTATTCGTATATTTGTAAAGCTTTAATATGGCAAAGTTGGTGAAGGCCAAGTGGGACTATCTAACATTGTACCTAAGCGTGTTGAATTGATTCTTTCTACATTTCCTTTCATCTCTTGAGTCTTGATTAACGTTCGTCAATTCAAAATTTGATTGGTGACTTTTTACCTTTGTGATACTCTCTACTTCGTTTCAAATGTTACCAATGGATTAGCGAAATAGTAGAAATGTGTGACAAAAGACAAAAAATATAAAATTATAAATGAAACTGATCTTTCAAACCCCCGGTTTGATACAATGACGATTATATACAAAGCCGACCTTGAACCCAAACACGTCAATCAAGCATGTACCTGCGTTTTTCTAAAAATTAATTAGGACTCATTTTATCTATAAAATGATCTATTTTTATGTAAAGATATATGCAAAACGATTTAAACACGGGGAGATAGAGACAAAGTTATTATAAAACGTAACCAGCAACAACAAAAAAAGTAATTCTTTATCGTTTTGGAAATACCTCTTCAAATAGTATGCGTCTTTTGATTGATCTTCTTACTTTGTCGTTTTTAGAGAATAGAATTTAGATCCAAATCCAAACAGTATGTTCTTACTAACCCGTGCCGTCTAAAACAAAAATCACCACAGACCAAATCAGTAAAAATTCATTTGTTCATTTTCAGTAAAATTATTCAGTAATTTGTTTTTCTTCGAATAAACAGAGTCGAACCTTCATATTCAAATTTTTGTAGAAGAGTTACGCTAGCAAATTCCTACGTATAAACATAGTAAAGTATTCATTTTAGTAAGATATTTTCCAACCAGACCAAATCAGTAAAATGGATTCCATAAAAGGATGTATACTTTTGACCATGTTTTTTTGGTTTGTTGACAAAATTGACTTCATATTCACTTAGAAGAGGCACGTGTTATGTTCACGTTAGTATTGAAGCTTCTACGTCTTTGCATAAAAGTTAACAAAGTCCCACTAATACGGCACGTGAATCTTTTTATTTTCAAGTATTTCGTTTGTTTCTCTTTTGGTGTTTCTTCTTTCCAAGCATTTTCTAATTTTGGCTTCTTCTGTCTAATGGGTAAGCTTTGTTTTGTAATATATGTTGGTGGAACGGTAAAATTGTTAATTCTTTATTTTATCCTCACTACAAATGACCATTTTATTTCTTATCACAAACTGATTATCTGACCAAAATACACAAACTAAACTTTCAACGTACCTAAATTTCAAAATTTAAATCCCAAATTCATGGCTTTTTAACAAGATTTATTTTATATTTTATAGAGTTGAAATGAATTTTTTTATCATATGTTACATTATCGACATAGATAATTGATATTATCATATCACAAATGTTATATCATTTGCAAATTTGCAATGGACCGATTGAATCTGAATACTTGTACCATATCCAATCATGACGGACGGCTACGCAAACGTTTCACGATAGTCACTTTGCAACACAAGGGTCGGCAGAAAAACATTACTACCATTACTAGACTTGATGATTTTTTAATCCGTAATACACAAGATCATGAGAAACAGCTCTATATGCATTATGCTAGATCTCAAAGTTACGTTCATAATCTACCAAAAAATTACATTTTGTAGAAATTGATATATAAAT